TCAGCAAAAGGTCTGTCTTTCAGCTTCCGGAGCGCAGTGATTACACTTTGGTGCGTAGGGCGGTCAAAATGCATGTCAGTGGGCAAACTCTTTAGGCACAGGTCAATGAAACGCGCAAGGACACGGCATAGCAGGCTCAACGGATTGCAAGACTGGTCACCAAGCGGGCGAGCAACCGCAAGGTTCTTGTGCTTCGGCACAGCCCTCACCTTTCCCCATGATTCCTCTCGCCCTGCAAGTGTTTTAAGCCAGCGACGCCTAAACCTCGTGTTGAGTGCTGCAGGCTGCAGATCATCACGCAAGTATGGAATCACAATGCTGTCAAGCCCAAGCCAATCAGGCTCGTCACGCTGATACGTGAAGTTTGCACCCAACACAGGTTGAAGACAATCCAAAAGGCCATGCTGGGATGCCGACAGGTTTCCAAAGCTAACACGCTCAGAATCAATATCCGAGACTTTCACGAGCTCACCTTCCTGCAGACGCGTCTCCAAACAGCCGTTCTCCGCTATTGTCTGCAAGGCTCGCAGCACCCTGTAAGACGCACCTATCATCAACACGTCCGGTGGATGATGTTGAAACAGACCACTAGCTTGCAAAAAGTACATGCGAGGGCACATGCAGACAAACTCAGATGTGTTTTTGTCCAGAGCTTCAATGTAGAGCCCTTTGCACAACTTCTTTATTGCTGCGACATCTGCCCCTTTCACATGTTCAAACCCCATGTCTTCATGACCAAGACTCCAACTGTCAACAAGCTTCTGTGCAAACTCCTGTGCAACATGTTCCAACTGCCCCTGCATGCTTCGGTCAGAAAAGGGGTCAAGCAATGCACGAGCAACATGGTTAAACCCAGCCGCAACCTGATTCAACATTGCGTCCCTTGCAGGTACGACTCGGGTATGGGCCGACAGCTGACGCAAGAAGTCCAAACGACTCGGCAGCGGAAGCTCACTCTGACGAGCACAAACATGGAAAGACCCGTCAAGTGCTTTACAACGTGGCCAGCTGCTGCTGGGTAGGTCGCGGCATGTGCATGCGCAGAATTCAACATCATCAAGGCGTTTGTTGTACCTTGGCGCAGTCCGCACAATGTCCAAGATGCTCAAGCCTGGTTTCCATACAATTTGGCATTTCGCCCTTCCGTGAGAGAAAACACTGGGCTGGCAGGCACCCATGGAGAACAGACGGACAATGAAATCTTGGATGGCCAGTTTGGTACCATGAATGTTGCCTTTTGTGCCACACCACGGTAGCTCAATCACAAGGCGTGGCACCGGGAGCTGAAGTTGAAGTTGGCAAGCTCGCCTCCGCACAAACTTCAAAGCAGCAGCTTTGTTGCGGGATGTAGCCCATCTCTGCACCTGGTGAAAGATGTGCAACAATGACGCGCGAGACTTGATTACGAACAAAAGCCGGAGGCCATGCTTTGCAATCTTGTCCCGACGATCGAAGCATAAAGCACACAGAATGCGACCAACGGAGGACACAGGCTGGGGCTTTGTCGGCAGCACTGGCACTGCAAGCCCTCTTGAACCTCGCTGTTTCTTCACATGTCTAGCCAAAGGGTGGCTAGTAAGCACCGTGGCTTTTGCAGAATCAAGAGGTTGCGGGGCCACAAGCGGTATCGCAGGTCCAAGATTCTTCCGCCGTTTCAGCAAGCCAGGGTTGACCAACTCAAGCGCAACATGACTAAGATGGCGGTAGACATGAGGTGTATTAAGCTTGAAGCAAAAGTTGCCAAGAAACACACGCTCTGCTGCAACAGCTTCTGGCACACCTCCATTGACAGCCACAACTGGGAGCATGAAGAAGGATGCCACAGCTGGGATATCGGCATGCACCTTTTCACGGAGGAAGAAGTAAGCAGGGATCTGGCCCGTGGCCCCCGGATTGTGTATCCTGTATGAGTGATCCGTATGACGACGGTTGAAATCGATCGTCCGTCCGGCATACATGTGAGAGTGGAGTGGGCTCCACAAGACATACAAAGCATTGCTCGGAATCGGGGCCATGTCAGGCCACAGTCCGCCCGGAAACTTTCTCAGGTACGCAAGAAGGCTCTGATCATGATCAAAAGTGGATAACGAGAGGTATTCAGCCACAATCGGAAGCGACGCAAGTCGCAACTCCAGCAGCACAGACAAAGCGCAATTACCAGGAAGACCAAGCTTCCTTGCAACCGAGCACATGCAATCAATTAGCAAAAACAATATGGAGCGCAACACGCTTCTCCATTGGGCTAGCCTCCGAGGAGCAAGCCCCGTTGCCACTGCAACGTGCGTGGCAACATCCTGGCCCTGGTGCTGTAGTCACTCAGCAGAGCTGTGCTTCAAAGCCAACGCACGCGCCACCCATCTCCTGAGCTCATGTACCTGTCGTTTGTCACATTTAAGGCCAATGTTTTGGGTGGCCATTTTGAAAGCTCCATACACGGACTCCCGGATCTGACCCTCAACTCCCAATTTCTCTAGAGCAGTGTCAAACTTGACGGCGACGGCATGGATCGGCGAATTACTGTCAAAGGGTTGCTCTTTCGAAGCTTCCTTCACAGACAAAAGGGTCGTACCAGGCAAGGAACGTGCCAACCCTGGTGCGTCAAGCTCAAACTTTTCAAGCGTGTATGCACCAAAGTCAAAATCAACACGCTTGGGGAGCTTTGCCGGGGGTGCTCCAACCTCTCCTTCAGCTGCACTTCCAGCTTTACGCTTTTCCGGGGCTTCACTTGTCCCCTTCTTGAACTGAGCAGGGACATTGGCGACAATCCAAGCAACACACTCCTGCACTACAGGTTTGGCCACCTGCAGGTTTAGTTTGGGGACCACACCAAAGAAGAAATCCCGCTCATTGCTGCTGGTGGCAATTGGCTTGGCTCCTTCCCGGACCCAAAATTTGCGGGATTCAGTAGGTTGAAGCTCCACAACCCTCTGAATCATGAGCTTGTTGATCGCAAGGCATTTTGCAATCTTGTCTGGGCAACCCCTCCCCATACGTTGAATCTCGTCGGGGTTGAGGTGGCTTGGAGCCTTCCACAGAAGTGGGTTCAACTTGTCATGTAGCAACACAGCATCGGCCACTTTCGTTGCATCCACACGGCCCTCATCGATCCCACGATGCATTGCCTGTGTGACGAAAGGGTGCAGGTCAACACCCTGGCATAAGCGGCTCAGCGAGTCAATCAGTGAATCAGCCACTACTCGAAGATCATTCTCATCAAGGTGATCAAGACTCACAACTGAGTTAAGAAGAGCACGCACTATGTTATCAAAATCACCCGGCATTCCACGAGCATCAGGGCTAGAACTCCATACCTCCGTTTTCTCAACGTCCGATAGTGAGGCAATCATGTCCAAAACTTGCTGGACACGCGATGCGGGCTGCTGCTCAGGGCCAGTGGTGCCTTGCATTGGTACTGGCACACTTGAGGAACTGAACTCCGGCGAAACTTGTGCAGGCTGGTAACCTGTATGCTGCATGTGTTGCTGGCCGTAATTGAGCATATGCATCGTTGAAGTCCCTGTGGCACCATGTGCGTACTCGCCCCCGCTCATGCTTCCCTGGTAAGGGTAGTACCAATTTCCTTGCATGCCCCAGGCTGTGTTCGGATTCTGCTGTCCTGGATAGAACAGGTTCTGACCGATACCAAACATCAGTATGGCGGCGAAGGCACAATACGAGTACGGAGCCAACACTTCGGTTTTCGAGCAGCCAGGGCTGCGTGCACACAAGAAGCGATCAGCACATGGACTACAGACAGAGACTGGAAGCAATCAAATCTGACACAAGCAATCGTTGTTCACACATAGGCAGACCCTGACTTTCTCTCTGTTCTCTGTGTCCATTGGACGAATACCATTCCCCCGATGGAGGCGCTTGGAGACACGGCATCAGCCCAAGGCCGGAACACGTGCCCAGTACATGTATGCAGCAGCTTTGTTCAGCTGTTTTAAGGATCTTTGCCACATTAGGCACAGAATCTTTTGCCCGTGGGCCGGTGATCTCAAGAAAAGGAGGGAAAAGATGCAAGGAAGAAGACAACCAAGACCGCCGCTCAAGGACCCATCACGCGCCTCCTCTGTCTGTACGCGTGATGTGCGCCCGGACGCAGACATCATAGGAGGGCGAAGTCCCACCAGAACCCCCAAAAGTGACGGGCGGAGAGGAATGCAGAGGCAACGACACCGGGAATGTTAAAGCCATGCTCATGATGCAGGCAATGCTGAGGCAGGGGCGGCAGAATTATCATCATCTTCGATCATTGCACGATACGTCCTACCCATACCTAAGACACACCCCTCGGTAACAAGAGTCGAAGGCCAGCACTGGACCATCTTTCATACTCGTCAGCATCAAACCTGAAAGTCTGCACGTGCAAAACACATCCTGCTTTGTTGAGTCTGACTCCACTGCCTTGCCTTGGTCTTCCACGCAGATGTCGGGCGCTTCACCGGCTCGAAGTCGGCCAGGATCTTACAGGCATCGCGAGGGGAGCTTCGAGGATTTGAGGAGCTTGCGTTTACAGAAGCAGGAGGCCCAAGCGACGTGCTTGGCCGGACAAAACTGACATGAAATCTCAAGAAGTTGCCTGGCACATGTCAAAATGGACACTAAAGGGGTGGCGTGCCTCTAAGAGATTGGCATTCCACCAGCGGATGCACTCGTGCGGCACTAGGATTGCCTCGTCTTTCCAGTCCTTCGCTTCCGACACCACCTCCAGGGCTCGGATCCACTTTGCCAAAATCTCAAGTCTTAAGCATCAGAAGTGTTTAGCCGACGTCCCTCCCAACAAAGCGGATACTTTGAAACGCTGAAAGACCCTGGATGTCGGCTTGGGGTTCGAAGGACTTGGCCATTCGAAAGCCATGGCTTGCAAGATTGAAGGGGACAATGGAAAAGCAGGATGAGCCTCTATTGCTTCGCATCGGCAGGTGTTATCATGACGGAACTCTTGCACTGCACACCCGAGGATCTGACTCTTGCCGAGGCCAGCAGCTTTCTGCCTAGCGGCCTCGCATCTATCAGATTCATCGGGTGCAGCGCTTCAACGACGGAGCTGTCACGGCCTGCAACGTGCCAATTTCCACGTGCTGCCTTGGGAAGGACAGAGGAGCGCACTCCCACAAGCGGTCGCAAGGACTTTGGCAGTGGCGGAAGCCATCAGCAAGCGACTTGATCCTGAGTCTTGCGAGTCAAGTTTGCGCTCAAGTAGAAGAGAACCTTCATTGAGACATGGACCTGGCCGTTCCGGCAAGCATCCCTGCGAGAGTACGCCCGCCCCGAATCACCTATTTCGATTTGCAACTGCTTCACATCTGGCTAGCCTCCTGTGGTGAAGGAAACCGTGCACCCGGAGAGCTGCAGAGGTACTGACAGAGAGCAAACCAAAACACAGAATTGCTGCAGGCATTTGTGTACCCTTCCTTCAGCCTTAAGGGCCTTAAGCTGTCCTGGCTCAGTACCGGAGAAGCTCTTGGAGCTCTGCTTGAATGCCTGGCAAAAGATTGCTGAGGAACGAGCCGGAACGCATGCCAAGTGCTGGGGTGCAGACGAGCAGGCCAGCACCTGGCCCTGGATATCGGGTGCAATTCCGTTCTCGGGTGTTGATCGAACTCGAATCTGAGAAAGTCGCTGGTGCAAAGCAACTTGGACCCACCAGTGGAGGCGGAAACATCGCTGGCCAAGCCTTAAACAGACCAGGTGGGTGGCTGTGGGACCCGAAGAGCTTAAAAGGTTGGAAGGCGAAGCTCTCGCGATTGCTGGCATCTATTTACCGTTGCGGAAACCAACGAATGCGCTGTTGCTGCTGTAGCTGGACGTGGAGCTTCAGGAAGCAGAGTGCAGGGTGCAACATCTGCATTGGGAGTTGGATGAGAACAGCCAACAGCTTTGCGAATCGCCAACACATGCAACGTTGTCAGTCTGCCACATCTGCTCGCAACTTCTCGCACATGCACAGCACCCGGCTTCATCATTCCTCGCCGACAGCTTCAGCCCTTCTGACGATCGAGTCCTCGAAGCAAGCCAACACTTCGCTTTCGCTGACTGGTTCTGCCCTCTGGCTGGCTCCTGGCAATGCTTTCGCCGTTCGAGCCTGGCATGATACAAACATCCGGTACGCGAGCAGGTGACAGGGAGCTTTCGAAGGGCAAAGGCTACTGAAGCCCTCTGACTTCAATCGCGTTGGGAGAGCATGGTGCAGAAGACTTGGCCAGCGCTGCCAAGCGTGAGGCCCCCGGGGCCTTGTCATCTGTGAACACCCGAGTCACAGTCTGCCCGGTCAGACGACACAAACTGAATGATTCGTCCATGCCAAAGGCTGTCAAGGATGCCCGAAATGCCGAGACCACCTGAGGCCGAGGCCGTCCTCACCGGCGAAAGCGAGGGAAGTCGCCCCTGCTCGCAGGACCGTAGAAGGCAACACAGGACACGGGTTTGGGCTTCGCAACAGGTGTCCTCCCGTTCAGGCGGTTTACACGGTCACAATGATGTGTCAGTGCTGACCATGCTCGATGGTCTGCTTCCGTGAGGGGCACTTACGATCTGCGCTCCCAACAGGCTTCCGCGCAAGTGTTGATCTCTGGCCAGTTGTGGTGATGCTTCTGAGATTCTGCCGGGCTGGCGCAATGGGGATTATGTTTCTTGGTCGTGGTTTCGTTTCAATGGCTTCACCACTTGTAACAAACGAAGACATTGCAAGCTCCCTGGCCTCGATGTGCTGCCGCTGAAGACTTTCAAGCCTGGAAGCAGCGACCTACGACTTGCAGTATTCAATGGGCATGCATGCTGCACTTCCGTGCCAGAGCCAAACCGAAATCAAACAAGGACTAGTCAACTCCGCGCACTACTGAGGCGGTGGGATGGCTGTTTCGAGAAGAAACCTCTGTGCACACGGCCGGTTGGGTCTCCTGAACGCCTTTGCTATTGTGTCTTGCGCAAGCTTCAGGATGTGCATGTGGGTTCTTGTTGATTTTTTCGCTCGTATTGAAGGTGGTCTGAACTGTCGGTTGATTATAATAACTCGACTACACATATGCTTCCGCGAAGAGCTGCGAAAATCCTTCTCGGTGCGGCAATGGGCAGTGTTTCTGCGAAAGGGCCGTGTCACCCCTCTTTGTGCCAGGCAGGAATCCGACAGAAGTACTTATTTCGCAGACCTGATCCCAAGTGTTTGAGGTTCGCCGATATCGATCGTGTTAAGGACAGGCAGCACCAGGGCACCGCAAGACTTTCCCTTTCAGGAAGTTGGCCTAATTCCATGCGGTGCTACGTCGCCCCCAGCCGGCTGAAAAGATACGGAAGTCCTCAAATGAAACAATCGAGAAGGAGCTTGGAGCAAAGACAATCCACGCTTGCGCGAGATGTCGTGAGAGCCTTCGTAAGTAAGAGCTCACTCGAGCCTTTAAGCCTGTAGTAAACATGTCGCCCAAAGTACGCGCCACACTGCACATGGCCTGTGAAGAAGCGACTCGGTGATTAGCAAACGGTACTTCATATTGGCCTGCCACCAGTTTCTGTAAGATCTGTGTGCGAGGGTGTGCTTGACAAGTGTGTGTCCGGACGCAAGAGAAAAATCGCATTATGAGTTTAACTCGTGCTGAAATACTATCAAGAACACCTCAAGAGAGCGCAGAATAACACCTCAACCCCTGGGTTTTGCAAGTATTGTAGCTCATTCGGCTTTTGGCCAAGACGGTGCTTCCGCAACTTCGTGACGACAGTACGAAGCCATTTGATCTCTACCTTCAACCACTTCCATCGCTAGAGAAGACCCAAGAGCCGCAAAAACACACACATAATGTCTTTCGCGGTTACCTTAAAATCTCTCCCCCCGGCATCTAATTCCTGCACAAGCGCATGCTCGATCCAGATCTTACCTAAACGGACACATACTCGACAGCATGAGCCACGATGAGCCGAAAACAGCATCTGACGCAAATTTGTGGCCGGGTGGCTCATGCGCATGCTGCCGCCGCTCGGCTTCGAGTTGTCTTTCCAGCTCGCGACAGCGGCCGGACAGCTCTGTTACCATCGGGCGACCTTCACAAAGAGAATCTGTGTCTTTCCTTGGCATGTGGCATGGAGCCTCCTTCGGGCTCCACGGGCTTCACCTGCAAGAGGCACTGCTCCAGTGTTCCGTGTGGCTGAAACCGGATCGCGTTCGGTGAGATAGCTCATGTGTGATGCCGTGGCACTGAGCAATGGCCCTGGCGGTCTGGGATAAACTGAACTTGGGCCCGAGCCTCACAAATGTCTGTGGCACCACACAGGATCTGCACTGACGACCTGAGCGTTTGGGCCTGCCTGCCGCACTCTTGGCCGTATGTCTTCTTGACAAGCTTCTGAGCTCCCTGCTGATTTGCGCTCCAGCGTGTGACCGGCATGTCAGCCAAAGGAGTGGCCTGTCTTCACGGCTCCGAGAGATGTCACCCGCCAGGAAGGTTCTGCTGGACAAGCAAGGTCGAATGCCCGCTACCGAGACTTCAACTTTCGCTCGGTTCGATCCGGCCTCAATTAGAAAGCTGTAGCTGCCACCTGAGATGGCCCGTATCAATGTAGCGATGAACAAGAACTCGAAACTCACAACGGCATTGGCAGCCTGCTCGCTTAGGCAATCTCTGAGATTCGGGCGAGTGGTCGGCGGGCATGGGGATTCCTCTCTCGTAGTTGCGTCACGATCTCGAGAAAGCCTGTAGCCGGCAAAGCCACGCTGTCCCGACTACGTGCTGCCAAAGTCCAAAGCGCCACAGAACAATGGCGTTTCGGAGATAGTCCAATTTGAGTACCGGGCGGTGTGCCGGCGGCGGAGCCTTCGTTTTTATGCGATGGTGCTGGAGCATCCGGAGGCTCTTGCGCATAACCGGACATCATACAATCTCCGGCAAGAAGATCAAACACAAAGGTGATGACACAGCGAACACACACCAAGCATGCCCCCAAACGCGTACATCACTTCTGCTGCCGTCGTGAAACCGAGAAACTGGATGCATGAGTACCGAACATTCACATGTGCGTAAGGCAGACTTAGCCAGCAAATTTTCCGTCTGTTCCTGGCTTCTCACACTCGACTAGAGAGTCTTTCAGCACTTGTAGCGAAGCTTCGTCCGCATTTTTGCATTAAGGCGGGCATGCGGGAGCCTGTCGAGACAGCGGCCACTGAGCAAGTAGACGACACACCCGATCCTGAAACGGTGTTAGATCAACACTGCTTGCAACCACGGGAGAACGCAAGAGATTCTGGTTTATTGCAAGCTTCGCCTGGATCAGCGGTGCTCCTGCAGCTGCCGAGCAACGTGACCTGAGCTGCACGGAACTGCCGGGGCTTCCATGCCTCCGCTGAGGATTTCTTGGGGCCTTAAAGGTTTTCCTTCCGGGCTTCCGGCGCTGTTGCAAATTGGCAGCGCCTCTGGAACATCCTGACAAACAAATTACAAACGAAAACAGCGTAGTGTTGTCAGCAAGCATTCAAGCTGGATGCAGCAAAGCAGTTCTCAAGAGAGCCCACCAAGTGGCTCTGCCCAGCATGGCTGGCGGCCTGCGCTCCAAGCTTGCAGCAGCGGTGTTCGCACTACCACTGGTAGACAGACCTGATCTACGCAAGCTCCCATAATGTAGCTCCCAAGAAGTAAAGTTAGCACCATGATGCACTGCACACGGCTGTCGATGCTGCAGCATTTTTTTCTTGATGCACGGTGATGTCCTCACCACAATAACCACGACTTGCGGGCGAATGTCCACATCATACGAGTGACTCGTATATCCTTACGGAACCCATGCTGAGGTGGGCCTTGTTGTCTTTCATAACACCAGCAGCCTCGGCGTTTCACTTCAAGTCTCATCAAACAGCGCTTCCATCTTGAGGATGTCTCGAAAGTGCCAGCATAGTGGTAACAGCTAAGAGATACACCAGTGATGTCCTGCTGCTGCGCGAGCCTTGGCTTCATCGTCGCGTCCAAACTTCTATACATGTGTGGTAGAAAATGAATACATGTCGACTTCCATACAGCGGCTTTAAGCTGCCGACGTTCCGGACTTAACGACGACGTGGACATCGACTTTGCGAAGGTTGACCTGCCATCAAGGGCTTGGCAGGACTCATGCACTTGTGAAAAGCACTCTCGCATGTGGGACCTTGATGACACGCGCCTGTCTGCCGACAGGGACCGCGAGGCCTTTCATCATGAGTGAAACTCTGACTCGCTGGCCTTTGGAAATCCGCAGGGCTGCGTTTAGCAGCTCGGCTTGCTTGCTGGGCTTGCGCGCAGATCTGCGACTTTCCAATCTGGCCTTGGATGCTAGCTAGCCCACTATCAAAGTTGGTCCCACCCTAGCCGATATATAGCCATATGTCCAAACGACCGGGGCAGCTTGACGACGAACTGCATCAGTGAAAGTAAAGCCCCTACTCGTGATGCGGAATAGGACAGTCGCCCGAGGCACAATTCGTAATCCTACAGAGTGCATTCATTGGGATGCTGGCCTTTGGATTGCCCGTGCTGCTGTTGTTGTTGCTGCTGCTGGCGATGGTGCTGGTTGCTGCTATTGAAAGTTGTTGATGTTGATGTTGTTGCTGCTGCTGCTGTTGCTTGTTGCTTGTTGTCTGTTCCTTGTTGCTTCTGTTGCTGTTGTTGCGGTTGTTGCAGTGGTTGTTGTGGTGGTGGTGGTGGATGTTGTGTTTATTGCTTGTGTTGCTGTTGCCGTTGCTGTTATTGTTGTCCTTGTTCTTGTCGTTGTTGATGTTGTTGCTGTTTGGTTGGTCCCGGTCGTGGTGGTTCCCTGTTGTCGCTGCATCTGCCGTTGCTGCGGCCTCACGAGAAGCTGCTATTGCAGACGCAGTTGCAGACGGGGTATGCAACTTCTCAACTTCAAGAACAAGAAACCATGAGCTGCAAAACTTCGCAAGGTTCGATGATCATCCGAGTGTAAGGATTGTGCGAGCTCTCGGCGAAGCTGAGCAATTCGTCTCTCAAGCTGCCTGTGCGGCATCAGTACTTTGACTGGCTATTGGCTATCGGCTATCGGTGTCTTTGTGGGATCCCTTGCCTGTCGGAAGATTGCGATTGGTGGGGATTGCTGACATTCACGCCAACCTCAGCTGGTCAGGGCTGCGGGTGAAGAGCACCTGAACATGCCGACAGATAAGCTTCAAGCGCTGTTTTCCACCTTTCTCGCGCGGACCGCGAATCGCAATGTAGACAAAGTCTCGGAAGCGTGGATGCTGCTCGACCTGAGACTGGACATGACTGGACGCCTTGGGCCCTGGCTGCCCTGTATGGACTTGCGACAGGAAGTAGCAGCTAGGCATGGCCAAGGCCCAAGGCCCAAGGCCCGAGCGAACAAGCCACCAGGAGAGTCGTGCGGCAGTTGCCACCTCACATGGCACCAGCCCTTTGCCAGTCCTGGGCTACCCCCGCGCTCTCCGGGGTCTCGGCCTAGAGATTCTTCCAGAAGCCGTGTGAGACGGGAGTCTCTGTAAGGCACATGCCTGTAGCGGCTGCTTCTCAGCATTTCTCAGCCAAAACAGCATTGTCATTAACGTAACATCCGAGGCCCACACGGTCTTCGCTCGGAAAGCGCTTCTATGACGTGACCGAGCCTGAGGCTTCCCATCATCGGCGTCAAAGCTTGAAGCCAGACTGTCATGCCCTCTCAGTGAATGGCGCGCTCAGGGAGGAGTTTATTTTCTTCGCTTCTTCCAGCATGCCCTGCTGTCAGGCAGAGCACAGTTGCACCAGGCAAGACGTCTTTGACGACTTTGAGCTCCAGGCACCGACAGAACCACTTTTGCGGACCTACATTGGGAATTTGTCACAAGTCGCTACTTACTCGGTGAGCAGTCAGGACTTGTCGGCGCCAAGAAAAATGGCCACCTTCTCCGATCCAGCAAGATCAACCAGAGTCAACTTGCACCTGGCCACAGCATGTGAAAGCAGCTAGGTTGTTACGTCTTTCGGAAGCAACCCAGCATGCGGCACACTCGAATTCCACTTTTCTGCGGTTGTCGCCTGGGGCACGTTGGAGCAAGGAACGAAAGAACCCTCCAAACACTGCTCATACTCCTGGAGAACAGAGTTGCTGTGGTGCTCTTGAGCTAGGGCTGCTGCAAAAGCAAGGAGAAGATTGCATGAGAACGGGATCTCAGTTCAGTGCAAGGTCGACAGATCCCAAGAAACATCGGCAGAGGCAGAGATCGCTGCGAGTGCTCATTCAAGCTGGTGTTGGCGGCCACTCTGAGCCTCAACCTGGAAATGTGCGTCGACACATAGCATGCGCTGCTTCTTGGCTGCGGCAGTAGACCATGGCCAACATGGCCGGAGATGAAACTGAGACGAGGGCCCCAGTCGCAAAATCTGCAACGCTTCAGCGGCTGTGGAGATCTGACAGTCGAGATGCTACGCTGCTACGAGCCTCGTGAAGTCGAAGTCGGCACGGAAGGGCCTCCTTGTAGGTCAGGCCTTCCACGCCACCGGGGAACTCCTCTGCCAGGCAGACCAGGCCCAGTGACAAGAAGGGTAAACAGGCTTAGCGGCTTAGCTGCAATAACCGTCCTTCAACTGTGGATTTGGGGTCTTTGGACTCAGGAAGTCGCGCACCCTATCCAGATAGACCTGTCTCGCAAGAGCCATGCAGGAATCCTCGAGTCGTCCCACTCTCTTCAGCCCAGGCCCAGGCCTCGAAAAAGCTGCACTGCAGCTTGGTGCCTGAAGTTGCCGAAAAGCTACTGGACTTTCAGAGACTCTCCGACGGAAACAAAGAAGCCTCCACTTTGCCGGACATGCTCTAGGACCTGCAGAGCGCTGCAGAGGTGCGAATTCGGAAGCTCGAGCTTGACCTGATCCAGGCCTGGCCTGCTCCACAGCCCTCGGCACCAGGCCTGGGCCCCCAAGGCACAAAATGCACAAAGTCGAAGGCTTCAAACAAGAGCCATGTCGGGCCTTCCAGGTCACAGGGACTTCGACCCTGCGGTGGTCCGAACATGCAAAAGGTCCTCAGGGACCACATAAGCAATGGAATCCAATGGACCAATGGATGAAGAAAGCTTCAATCTTTGAATCGATAGTCTTGGAAATCTCTGGGTGGTGCACTTGCCAGACCCTGTAGGTCCATAGGCGAGGATCGTACCATTGTATCCGGACCTAAGAACGCTCACAGCTACCACTTTTCGAGTGGCTGTACGTATACCTACTCGACACACAAGGCGCTGGCAGCACATCTTGCACCACACGTCGACCTAGCACGGCTACACATTCTGGGAAGAATGCAAACCCGGAAAAGAGTCCATGAAAACAGGCCTACATCTTCATAAACTTGCTGTTGGCTTGTTTCCTGACCTCGCAAAGGGGCTCACACGATTCAGATCATCTGGCGTGTCAGCAGCAGTAAGCATATAGCCGAATGCGCTGTCCAACCGGAAACAGTGCCTGGAAGACATCACGCAGCCAGTCATCCGCAAATTGCTGCATGATCCATGACTGTTTGACATCGATCAGGCATGAGATGGCTCAATGCGACAGTTTGACAATGCGTAATGAAGGCAACCGAGCCAGTCAGGCAAGTGGTCAGCAGACTCAACTACCTGAGCATTTTGCTCTGCATGGAGCATTGAGCCATGTGATTGACAGCGCAGAGATCCCAACACCCGCGGCATCCACGGTGAAAGCTGGGTTCTCCTTGAGCATTGGCAAGTTTACGGGGGCACGGCAGCTGCTTGGTTTCATGAGATGTGCTGGGACATCGAAATCGTCTCCTCCTGCTCTTCTTCAGAGACTGGAGGCCGAAAACGGGCAACAACCCGAACAGGGCACACCTCCCAACTTTTCAAGTGACGATGGGAGACCGTTGTCGGAAGAAGACAAGGCAACGAAAACTCCCAGCTTCTTCCGCCTCGCTGCTGCAAACGTTGGAACCTCCCGCAGGAGCCTCAGGACGGCGCCGAGCAGCCACAAGTTGAAGGCACTTTACAGTTGGTCCAGGTCCAGCCTAGACTGGGAACAGTGCTAACTGGGAAGAGGGAGACGCATGGCCAACACCGCCGAGCCCAGCAAAAACTGGCGGACAATTGACAGCGCAGATTCTGAGTCGCAGGCCATGCAAGATAAAGGTTGCAGCGAGCCCGTCCATACATATCAGTTCATACCCTTTCAGGTGGTCCGAACAACTACAAGCAGCTTGCTACGTGTACTGTCTTGGGCGGTGTGCAAGCCTAGCAGGCCATCTTCCTACATGCGTTTACCCTAGATGTCTGCCACCTACAGCATCTCCAAGATTAACTTGTTAGCCAACGGCTGCGAACAAGTAGACTAGGCATTCGAATAAGGCGATGTGAAAAGTTGTCTGAACTCTCCGACCACTTCCGCAGACCATTCAGGCATGGCGCCATGCTGCGCTCGATATCAAGCGAACAGCGCCAGCAGTGTTATGACACTCTCTTCTAGCGGTCTTGACTGCAAGCCACTGCTCAGCCCCGCCATCGGAAGCCTGATCGACGGTGATTGTCATACCGGTCAGCATGTCTCATCATCGCACTCGGAGCTCTCAGTGGATTGCAAACATGTAAAATCAGACCTGCGTCATGCACTTCACACAACTCAAGTAGCCTTCGGGCAGGATTTGGATGTCAGTATTGCCAGGGGTCGAATGCGGTGCTCGCATCAAGGGCGTCCTGAAAAACAAGCTGAAGTCCGTTTGGGAAAAGGCGACTATGTGTTGCTTGGCAAGAGAAAAGGGCAGTCCTGACAGCGTATGCATTCCTGAGCTGGGACTCAGCATGGCCGGAAGTTGTTGACAACTTCGCAAAAAGATACAAGAGGCAAAAGCACTGATGCAGCAAACTCTCGGAAGAAGCCAAGGATCAACTTGTCGTACACTCGCGCAAGTGACGAATCTATTTGCTCGTCCAGCGGGAAGAGATACTGCCCACGTCATGTAATGCACATATTTGCAGCGCTTGCTTGGCTTGGTTCTCCGGAACGCGAAACCGCATATTCAACAGGCGTCCGTCGACGAACACTCCAGCAAGGGCAGTGCAAGCAGAGCAGCTTCCAAGAAAGTAGCACCGAAGGTTGCAAGCAGGAGAGTACCGGATCGGAAGAGCAACTGCATGATTGTACCGGGTGCAATGAGCACACAAACAAACCTTTTCCGTACAGAGGGTAGTCATCTTGTACCAACAGCCGCAATTTCAAGCATCTGCAAGCCAACTTTGCCACAGACCTTTCTCATCTCGGCGTTCGGGTTCTGCGGTGAAACGTCTGCGACTTACAACCTACATGATTTTCGTTATGCTTTTTCGTTCGGTGAAAGAGGTGGCTACAGCCTGCAGCGCATCTTGGTGTCTGGGAGAATGCTACACCTTGCTGCAGCGGCTACTCCACAAAGCCCTGTCAGCCACGTATCATGAAGCAGTGAGGCCTTGGTCAATGACTTGCCGAACACATGACGGTTGTGCAAGCAAGTGCCAATGCACCTGCCCGTGCTGTCATTGGCTTGTCGAGCGGGCCCTGCAGACTTATACCGAACTGGGCTTGTGACATCATCAAAGAGCGTAGGCAGTCGCTGAGCAAGACGATGGGCACGAACAAGCCGCAAACCTTCATAACAAGCAGGATGGTGCTGCTGCTGCCTGAAAAGCATTGCATGACGTGCCCAGCTACAGGTTGTGATGCACTGCATACGGGGGGCCAGCAGGTCCAGTGGACCACGCAGTGCAAGTGTGGCAGTGAGCACCTCATGTGTGTGGCAAGGACCGAGCAAAGCTGACCAAGGACTTAATTCAGAAACAGGAACTGGCAAATGCGGAGCTACTGCAGCGAGAAACACGAAGTAGTCATACATTTTGCAAGATAGATTGTTTGCACATCTTTGCTCAACTCATAGGACAGGCCCGCACTCAGCACAGTGCCTCAACCTTTCAAGAAACCGGGCGCTAAACGTATGCGATGGACGAACAGAACTTGGAAACTTATGAAACTTGACTACTAGTGACCGGTCATCACTCAGCTTGAGCTGTCGAGCGAGATGGTCTTCAAGCATGTGCCAACCGACAAGGTGGACTTGGATTGCACGGCTTTCTCGGCGAGCGGAAACAAGTGGACAATGATTTCAGTGCAAACTCCACAGACACTGTGAAGGCGAACCAACAAGTGCAAAAAGGATGGAGGAAGTCAATTCCAATGCGACTTCTCGGCACATGTTTCTGTGTTTTCAAGGCAGACACCGACTCAGCCTCTGTAGGGCACAGTCTGATGTCTGAGTGTGACTCGACAATACACCAAGATCACGCACACAGGTTGAAACATGCGAACCAGAACCGTGCAATTCTCGCTGGGTCGTCTGGTCGGGGCTCCAACTTCTGTTGAGAACATCCCGCACTACATCTGTGACAACTTTTGCTTCAGCTGCTCATAGCTGCTCTGCAAGCTCGAGTCCGCGGCCAGCTCAAGCTGGTTCAGTACCGTGTAGAGCTTCATGACGTCAGCGCCTTTGCCGGCAGCACGTAACTTCACACTGAAGGAGTTGAAATGACTTCGGCGGCCGATCCAAAGCAGGGGACTCCAAAGGTACAAAGCGACGAGGAAAGCAGGCCTTGGCATGCGGCAAGCTGCCGAGTTCTGCAGAACAGTGGAAGGCATGAGAGCACTGCTTGATCATTGCTTGAGGTGACCTGTCTGAGACTCCTGGCGCAATGAGCAGCTGCGCTGTGTACAGCGTCACCTCAAAGACTTGAGGCCACCCAAGCACCAGTGCACCAGGCTCAGGTCGACTGCCGCTTCCCAACCTGTGAAGTGCTTGGAGTCTCCTGATCTGGCTCGAAGAGCTGATCCTCCTAGAAAAGATCTCTACGGAATTCAATATTCCGACACTGCATTGTAGGCCAAGCCATCCTCACCGCCCGTGAGGATCACAATGATGCAGACCTGACTGGCAAACCACATCTGGCACGATTGGATTGGGGACGGGACATGTCATCTGTAAATATCTCTGGCTTCTGGGATCTCCGGCCAGTTGGAGGGCAACCATTGTCAACAGGGCCACACCGCGGCGTACTATTTCCGGCATAATCACCTTCGTGCACGGGCGCAAAGGCTGCTTTCTGGGTAGCTTGAACTCGATTATTTCATCAACATTATACTGGCTGATTGCTATGAGATGTTCTAAATTGGGAAACCTCACAATGCACAAGAGACAGGCTACAGAAGAACCCCGCCTCATCCTCTGACATTGAAGTGTACACCACGATGGGCTCATTCTGCAGCAGCCGCCTCTGCCTGCGAATGTTAGCGGAGCTGAAGATAAGTTGCTGTTTCCAAGTACAGCAAATGCCCGTGTCGCTACAATCCCACGGCAGAGGAGCAGGTTCGAAAACGTTGCTGCCGTGGTCTGAGATTTGAAATGACGTGAGCTGATGGCACTTCCCTTTCGTTGTCGCACCTCTCTTCCTCTGTCTCCTGCCCGTTCTCAGCATCCTTGCAGAAGCACTGTTATGTCCCAAAGAAATAAGGGACGTTTGGACGTGTGCCGCTCTCAACCAGTACCAAGCCCGCCGCAGGCTGCAGCAGCCCCCGGGAGGGTGGTGGCGAACCAATGGCCATTGTGTCGTCTGGGAAAACGAGCTGGCACGGCATCCTCGGCCGGCGCAAATGGCAGATCGAAGCACGCTGCACAGGTCTTCGCCCAGCACAAGTTGCTTGTAACATGCAACTCACATCCTTCGGGTTGCTAAGGCTTGACTGCACCCAGAACCAGGTACAGTCTTGTTACATAGCGAGCCAATATGTCAAAGGTACATCACTGAATCCAATGCAGGTCCAGGCACTGCTTCTGAGCTTGTTGAGGGGCCAATGCCTGCGTTATCGCCTGGAGGCACAAAGCAGCCGCACCGTCAAGTAGGCTAAGCTTCTAATCCAGGAGAACGGGCTCGCTATCTCTGAGCCTCTCTGCATGCCTAGCTCTGTCCAGGTCTTGCCCCCCATTCCGAAAGCCTCCACGTTCCTTCTGACACCTGTTTGCTGCAGTGCACAGGCTGTCATTGGGCCTGCTGATGATACTGCAGGAGCGCATGACGATCGAATTGATCCATCCGCACGCGTTGCTGCCTCCAGCTCACTCAGCTTGATCACTGACTGCAGCTAGCAGCAAAGCGCGAGAAAAACGCCAATGGTATCCGATGGGACAACAGTTGCGCGTATCTCAGATCCCCGGCTTCTTGCCCTCACCTTTCCGCTTCAGCTGAGTTCTTCTAAGGATCAGGCCTCATGATGAGAAATCGGATGGAAGCCTGAGGCCACGAGAAAGCTGCTGTGGAAAGGGAGAAGCGGGTTGCGAGCCAAGCAGTGGGGCCAGATGCGCTCTGGATTGGTCCAGGTCGATGCAGTTTACGAAACAGCAATACTCGCAGGATTGAATGATCAGGGACCAACTGGACAAAGGGCAGCAAGTCGACGTGCCATGAAAAGTTTCATGACATCGTTGACGCAGCGCCTCTCAGTCCGGGAGTGAAGGCGGCCAAAGCTCAGCCATCCGGGCCCAAAGAGCAGCTTGTTACGCAAAGGTCCGGTTCAGCTCCGGCATAGGCCCGGCACGCTGGGGTTTCGTTTTTTAAGATCAGGCGCATCAGCCCATACATGCAAGACTTCTGTGCGGCGCTGATATCACGACTCGGGCGCCTCCGGCATGCGCTTGCATATTACTACCATGTGCAGAAGCTGGAGCCATCAATTTCAATCAGCGACAGCTTCAAGCTTATTCGTCTATAGAGTCCACGGCCAACATATGGAGAACTGCCTGCCTGCGCTTGTGCCCGTACTACTTGCATACTACGTACTAATGCAACTGCACACACACACACACAAACTACCTAATTACACACACATACATGTATACACGCGCACAGGTTCATGTGCGCAGTTAACCAATCGGGATTTCGCCAGGGTGTGCACGACAAGGAGCAGGCACAAAGGTAGAGCCTTCAGAAGCTGCGCTGCGCCACGTGGCCGCAGTGCAGCACCAAAGAGTCCGTAAACCTCGGGCGTGGCACCACTCTCGCTGGTCTGGGTCTAACAATGTGACTGCTTCTATTCGAATACCAGGC